ACCAGGCTCTCACATCACCAAGCGCGAAGCGCCGTGAGATATTCGGCGAGTCGCATGAAGGGTGCGCTGCATCCTGCTAAGGGTTTTCGGCATCTTGTGCTTACTTCCTTGCGTACGGATGACAGCTGCGTATGAATTAATTTATTTTCTGGTGCTTCACTTCCAGAGACAGTTGTAAGCACTGTGTAACTGCCTCGAGGGTTCTTGACCATTTTAACACAACGTGGTGCGATCATCCCCGTTGCGCGGAGCGAGGGTTCTCCACCCCGCACAACATGATCTACTCGAAGACCATTATGGTTACCGCAAAAAAAAAAACGGAGGTAAAAAAAAAAAACGGTAACCTGGTTGCCGAGTTCACGAAGTGAATTNGGGGACGTGGGTCCAGGGGGGAGGGAGATAAAAAAGAAGGCGCATAACGACAGGAAGAAAAAAGGCAGGGGGGGGAGGGCAAAAAACGTTAGGACGCAGATCACCTTTGGTCGCATTGTGGGACGACACCGACGACACAAAGGAATATCATTGAGGAAGTGGGAGAAAACACCAGAGATAGCGGTAGTAGCCGGGCAAAGGTGGACCGTGTCCAACGCCCGTTCTCTTGATGGGGTCGCTCCTCACCGCTGTTCTAGACAGCAAGACAGCAGTTAGTCTAAGCTCGACTAACAACCCTCTGATGCACGGCGTGGATAGCCTTGAGACTGGGCCCGAAATCGAAGCACCGTGGTCCTCCGCGAGGTGGTACCGAACACAAACTACAGTAGCAGCAGCAGCGGCAGCAGCCATCGCTTCTCGCCAGCCCCTCCCCGCCCTGTAGCGTAGGAGCGCGGGAGCACTCAAGTAGCGACCGAAACTTGAAACGTATGCTCTACCGGTGCCCAGTCATCGACAGGACAAAGTTGCCGTCGCTACTGCTTCAGAAAATACAAACAGCTTCTCTTCCTTCTCGAAGTCTCTCACCAGCTTCGCCGCGCGGTGGTAGGTGGCCTTCTGCGGAGTGCTCTCGGCGCGCTCGATGATGCACGCGCGGAGCTGGTTGAGGGACAGCAGCGCCTTCGACCTCAGCCCACGCTTGTCCCACAGCGACACCTTCACCGGCTTCACCACCACCTGCTGCCCCCAGCCGTAGCCGTCCTCCTCGTCGTCCTCGTCGTCCTCCGCCTCCGTGCCGTCGAATCGCGTCGGCTGGTGGACCAGACTCAGCCGCCGGAGAGGCTCCCCGCTCCCACCGACCCCGCTCCCGCCGCCGCCGCTGCCGCTACCGCCACCCTCCCCCCCTCCGGAAGACGAGGTCGTGGCGGTGCCGCCGGAGCCTTCGGTGGAACGCCCGGGCTTGTCGCACGTCACCGGTCTCGACGTTCGAGCGGGGTCTCCGACGGGGTCAAGCGCGGCGGGGGCGCTGCCGCTAGCACCGCCTCCTCCTGCGGTGTTCTCACCGCCGCCACTGTCGGCGACTTCTTTGAATCCGATGTTGTGAGCCCGAGAGCGTGTCACCCGCCCGCCGCGCGCCGTGGTACCCGCCCCCTCCTTCGAAGGCGAAGCTGCCGCTGCCGCCGCCGCCGCCGCCGCCGCTCTTCTTTCACCACCACCGCCGGGGTGGTTATCCCCCGCGTCGCCCGAGTCGTCGTTGTCGCTGCCGGGTCCCGACGACGAATCGAAGTCGTCGTCATCGTCCTCCTCGCCGTCGCCGGCGGCCTGCGCCTCTTCCTCCGCGCGGCTGTCCCAGGCGCAAACCTGCGCCGCGAACGAAATGTTCGTCGCCTCTCCGCCGCCGCCGCTACCGCTGCCGGGGGCTTCACCGCCACTGCCACTGCCACTGCCACTGCCACTGCCACCGCCACCGCCACCGCCGGTGGCCCCGGCGGCGCCGCCCGGGTCGGCGGGCTCGCGCAGTGCTTCCCAGCCCCCGGCGGCCACGACGGAGCCGTAGCCGATGCCGAACAGGAATCCGATCACGTACGGCAGCAGGATCTGCCAAAAAAAGGCGAGACAATAATGGAAATAAAAAACACAGCCAAAGGTTTTGTTTGTACCGCGCAACGTAAGGCCATCAACGCACCATACGACTTGGGCGAGGGTTACTGCTGTATAAGGATGAGGGTGTGGTCCGCTCCCTCCTTGTAAAAACGTGAGAAAGCAACAGCACCTTCCGCATATCGCCGTCAAAACAAACAAAGCACCTCGACTGCTGTGGATATATATATACAAAAAGGAACAAAACACCAACACAACTACAGCAGCACGGGCACCAGCTTACCTCAACGTGCATGACGTGGTTGCCTCCTTCTGCGCCGAGCCCTCCCCAGGATGGCTGCTGCTGCTGCTGCAGCGTCCACTGCGCCGGCGGTAGGCAGCCCCGGACGTAGAGCCACGCGCACGCGTTGTGCAGCACGTAGAGGGTGCATCCCAGGAAAAACTGCAGCCGAGGGATCTGCGATATTTGTTGCCGTTGTGGTTGTTTTTGTCCCGCAACGGAAAGACCGGCCACGGCCCGGCCAGAGATACGCGCAGGAGGTGCAGGCAGAAAAGGGATGGACAACGCGGCCGTTGGAAACAGGACGGTGGCCATCATGAGTATACATCACGAAAGTAGTAAGGTACATGGTATGCCATTTTTGAAAATGTGAACGCTGTGTCGCTTAGCTTCATATTGCCCTTTCAAAAGAAGAACAAGCACGAAGGATATAGCTTGCACAATATCGAGGACACGTCAAAGAGGAACAAAGATAGAGATTGAGGTGGGCGGCTAGGCGTCTGTCTGCTTGGTGCAGAGGTCAGGGCACGTTGGGTCGGGGATTAGACGAAGCGGCAGCGGTTACGGCCACCCTGTCACAGTGGCAGTAGACAAAAATAAAAATGACTTTACCAGGTCTGTTTCCGTCCAAGGCGTGGCCGGTAAAGGCACTGATCGTTCAGTGTGTAGCCTGAAGGGCCGGCCTTCATTGGACTTGTGCACCCAGAGGAAGAGTTGAAATGAAAAGATCCACAAGAACTTCCGGTTTGATTGGGTGAAAATGATGGCAAGACCGCACTGCTGTTGTTTAAATCAGCTGCAGTTTTCCTGCAAGCTGAACTCCGGGTCAGAACAGCGGTCTAACATTTGAAGTATACATGCGAAGATGATGTAATCAAACCTTCCTTTTTTATTTTCTATTTCATCAATATGACCCAATAGTCACACTTGTTATCCTTCATCCTTCACACACACAGTCTATTTCGAACACGCCGCTGCCGAAAAATATCGTCTGCCCCCGAAAGAGCCAACAAACCGTGTACGCGCAAAAAGACGGGACGAGGAAAAGACTGCGGTAGTTGTGTTTTAGCTGCCCGTTTCTCCTCTCTTGGTTTGCGGAGAAGCCGGCGTTTCGGATCCAGCCGTTGCGCACGTGTAGACATCTCCGACAGGACTTGAAGAAGGACGGCTATACAAAGCGGTAGCGACCGTACCGCTCCGCTCCTAACTGCTGGTTCACGTGATGACTGACACAGGGCGGCATCTATTTCAATCTCTCAGCTGAAGCTCGCCTACGCATATATGCTGACACCGTCACGCCAAAAACACGCGCCGCCAGCCCAGGATCCACGAGCGGAAAACACGGAGTAAAATATTTTACCGTGTGTGTGCTGTGCTATTCTTCAGGGTGCCACCACCAGCACACCTGACGGACGAACTACTCGGCACCTTCCTTCTACACGTTCCCAGCATAACATACAGAGCGATGCACAAGATGGCGACCAAACAGTCTTGTTGAGCCCGTGTTAACCACAGGGGAGATATCGCTGTGTGCTGCTCGGGAAATCGTGGAAATACAGGTAGCCTTCGCTGACTTTATGGATTCATTGCTAATCGATCTTTAAGACTCTTTTCTTAGGTAGAGATGGATTCGTTGGGTCACATGCATAACAGTAGAGGTCGCTGTTTAGTGTCCGGGTGTGCGCAACAAATTTCACCGGCACTATACCGGGCACCAGCAATACTCAAAAGTACAGAAAGACTTGGTATTCCAGTGTTTGCGAGCCGAAAACACCGGCACTATACCGACAACCGGCACTATTCAACCGGCACTAACAGGGACCTCTACTGTATTCGGAAAAATAAAAAATCAAGCCCTGATTTAGGCGAACCGTACAACCCAGAGCTCCCAAAAGTCGGTCTACTCGTGGCAAGATGACAAAAGACTACAGCACGTTGCCGTCCACTAACTGAAAATACTTTTAACACATGCCCTTAACAGACTATTCTGTGGTTGTATCATATACTCCCACTCCGAGTACATATAACGGATAGTCTTTCGATCTTGTGAATATTTTCGGGAGACTGCACGACTGCTGCAGTTGCCACATTCTTTGCCACGTTGCTATGCAGCACTCTTTGAGAGTCTTCACACTCGCACACCACACACAACGGGCTCCACAGCCAACCCTTGAGCAAAATATTAGTATGTCCTCGTTGTGATGCTGACCCACAGCAGCGCGAAACGTAGGAGCAGCTAGGCCGCAAGGATGTGTAAAACCGCAGAGCATGTGCCCTCCGTTTTCTGTGGTTTTGCACCCCACCCTCCGAGTATGTGCTTTTGGTTGTTCCCGGCCCGCGCAGCTTTCAAAGGGCTCGCTGGCGGTGGCCCCATTTCCGTACACCTGTACATTAGTGCAACCTGTATCACAGTCTACTTGGGGTTGTGCCGCATACTCACCTCCAACTCTAGCTTCGGTTGTCCTACTTACGAAGCGGGTAAGGGCCCGCAACAATGTTACTCCCAGAGTTCTGTGGATCGGTGGTTCCGCTCAAACTCTTGGTCTGTGCGTCGAGCCTGGGTCCACAATTCCGCTCAAGACCAGCCCCAAGCAAACTCAAATGCCTACCTAGCTCCAGTACCCAACAGGTTCTTCCTAACACAAAACACCGAAGACTTTGACACATCGTTCCCGGTGGTACGGAGTCACCGACCCCCAAACCCAACTTGAGCTGTTTTTGTACCTGCCGAAAGAGATATGCATGGGCACACCTTTACCCTTAACAAGTGCTGCCGGTGTCAGCGGAGAGCCACTCCTTACGCATGTGGTACATGTGTATCGTCGCGGTTCACGCGGAATCTCACGACGTTTTCATTTCATCGCACGATAAGTTGCGAGATACAAGTCGCAACCTACCCCACCTTACGCGAGTAAAACTCAGTAAGCTGCTGCGTGCCTCGAAACGAATGCGGTAGAGAACAAGTAGGTGATACCATTCGTTGTGTATTGGTACCCCAAAGGAAACCTCATCGTTTATTCGTTATTTCGTCCTGCATGTGACCACGGAAGGCGTTCGCGTCAGTTGGACCGGCATGGACATTTGACTAGAGGGTACGAGCGGAGACCGGAACGGTTTTAATGTGAAAACAACAACAACAACAACAACAACATTGTAGCTTTGCGTACAATATTAAGCCTTGCGTACACCGCAACGTCCGTCAGCTTGGAAGATATCATACACAGGTAACAATACTTGGGGGCGGTGAGACGACACCGGTCGGGGAAATAGCAACCGGGGTGCGTGCATACAACACCGCCGCGCCACAAGCAAGGATGCTGACAGCATCTCCCATATCGAAGACATCATGCCGGGGTGCCTTGGAAGAGCTACAGCAGCAGTACGAATCTATTACATACTGGCCCCCCTCAACAACGCTGGCATGCGCCCGGCCAATCGACCGGGGCCAAACAGAGGGACCGGCGCTATTCAAAGTACACGATGATTCGGTCTTGTGCCCAGCAATTTCACCGCACGGAGAGATGTATATCCAGGAGGGCCACCCGGCCTCATTCCAAAAACGTTGTTGACGGGCCCACTTCTGCTGTAAAACGAAGCGATTGATACGTGTATTCTACTTTTTTGCGGTATTTCCGGCGTGGAGTGATGCGCCACCTGTCGGACATCTAAAATGTGCACGAATACACAAAAAAAAAAATGAAGATGGTTCGCATCCTGGTGCCATCTGTCCGCCTCGTCTACTGTCTCGAATGGGATCTCACTCTGATTTTGTGTTCAAGGAAATGTGTTGACCAAAAGAGTAACCCGCTCAGAGTTTTTTTCGGCCGAGATGTACGAACAACGCGGCGTGTAGTAACGCAAGCGAGGGCGTCGTGGATGCCGTCGCTGGTGAACGTATTAAACTCCAGTCGTGGGGCTACTCGGTGTTGACCCGCACTACACTCAGTAGAAACCAGAACAAACTCTCCCGGTTGCGGTGATCGCGGGCGACGGTGGGTTTTGCATGCGCGAACACAGACCGTGGTCCCCAATTTTCTTGCAAATAAAAAAAAGAAGTAATATTTGAAGCGTTCGGCATGATGCATGCGCACCAGCTCGCCAACAGCAGTAGATCCTACTGCTATCTACGGTGGTGCAGAAACTTCACCACGACAAACGCTCCACTTGACTGGTTGCTCTGTTGCTACGAATTCCGACCCTGCTGGATTCTGCCCGATCGTTTGCGGTGGGGGGAGGGGGCGATCAAAAGCAGGCGTGCTACAACATCACACCACAGCAGACTTCGTCCCACGACGTGCAGCAGACCTTCGCTTACCCGAGCCAACCACCAGCTCCAGCAGAACGGGAATAGCAAGACCTTCTTGAAGCCGATCCAAACCAGCGCCCGGTGCTTGAACGGCTTGGTGTTGAACGAAACTGCGCTGTGTTTCACACAACGAGGCGGGCAATTTCATGTTTGTCGGGGTGCAACAGAAAAAGAGAGAGTTCACCAACAACACTCACACGGCACTCCTCATTAATAAGATAGTAGAAGCAAGCAACGGTGGTGGGTCTGCAGTACACCAGTAGCAGCTTTCCCAGATGTTGAAAACTTAAACTTTCAAATCCCATGTAGGCATTGGTAGGCCACAAGGCACTGCTGCTGCAGCTCTAGCTAGGGCTCTCACGTGTGTACAAGGGCCACCACCTCCATACCAGCTCGCGCCACAGATAAGAGTACGCCAGCTGATACATCAGCCGTGAGAGCTGTTCGTCGATGGTCGTTGGTTTGGACCTACACAAATGTCCCAAAGGGTGCCCAACCCTAACCGATACGTTCAGTAAATTTCGTTACGGCTAGCTTACCCTTTCAGGACGTTCAAGTCGAAGTACTCCGTGGGCGTTTCATCCTGAAGCTTGTGCTCCTGCTGTTGGTCTTTTTGCTGCTGCTGCTGCTGCTGCTGCTGCTGCTGCTGCTGCTGCGAAGGGCGCCGCGTCGTGAACATGTTAGCCCAGGCAGTTGTAACATGTATGTGTAAGTGGTGTGTTGTGGTTCAGCCGCGCGTGAGCGGGCAATGCCAAACTGGGGGCACCGTATTTCCGGATGGGGCCGGATATGCACAAACACTAAATCCGAGGGGGGTGGGGCGAGGTCCCACCTATAGAACATACGGTATACGGCGGCGGAGAGCAGTAAAACGAGGCCCACCCACACGCACAGCAGTGCGCGGCGAGTCTATTCTGCTACAGCGAACGAGGTACGTGGATGAGGACTTGTGTTGCTGAAAATTTGCGTACCTGCTTCATGGAGTTGTGCCCCGATCGCTTTGGCAAGGCGTCTCGCTTGTTTCCGGGCAGGTGCTTAGGTAGAGACCCAGACATCCACATCTGGGGAGAGCGGGGGATCGTCGATAAATTTCAACTGCTGTGCAGCACAGCAGAGAATAGGCGGCATCATTGCGTAAGCGGTAGATCCGGCTGATGTCGTATGGGCGGGAGTCTTGAAAGGACTTAGGGAACGGGTGGTGTGCTTGAGTGCGTGTGGAAAGTACAGGGAAGAGCAAGGGTGGCAATCACGGAGCGAAACGATGCTGTAGAGCAGATTCGAGGGCAGCATGTGCGGTCTTCTGTGCCCCTTTGCGTGCGCTCTGCATCAAAAGGCAGATGGTTGTTGGTGCTTGCTGTCCAGAGCAACATACGCTAACGTCTCCTAGCGTGTGTTGACTATAAAATATGCTGTGTCGGCTTGTTTCGCCCGTCCAGCAGCAGTATTTGGGAACAACACCAGCCTTGCTCTCTTAGTTGCCCCGCCGTGGCGTCCTGCCTGCTGTTGGGGGGTTTGTCCCTGACGGTTTCCCCTCTCTTTCCTTCTGCTGGCAAAACACAGGGCAGCAACCCCTTCGTAGACTCGAAGACGCTCCGGGCACACGGGACTTATCTAGCACCACTCGGAACTGGCGAGAATCTCCGACAGGCAGCCCCTTTTCAAGTCCCATTAAACACTTTTCCATCATAATCATGGCTGAGGGAGGCTCCGTTCGCAGCGGTGACCACGGCGGAGGCGGGGGCGGCAGCAGCAGCAGCAGCAGCAGGAGCAAGCGCCCGCTACGCCGGCAGCAGCACCAGCAGCCAGAAGAGGCTCCGGAAGCGATGACGACCAGGGCCGGGAGCAAGCGACGGCGCGGCGAAGCATCAGACGGGGCGAACGGCGGCAAACGCGGCGCTAGTACTCACCATGTCGCCGCCAACAACGACGTCGCGCCTCCGCCCGCCAAGCAGCCGCGCGGGCTCTACCGCAGGGTCACCGGCCTCGTCGGACGCGCGGTGGGCCTCTTGACGCCAGGCAGACCCCGGGCGCCTCCCCGCATCGCCTCCACCGCGGCGGAAGACAACGATTTAGAAGCCGCGGCGGGAGCGGCGGCGCGCGGAGAAGAGAGCACGGCCGGGGAGCCCGAGGAGGGGAATGAAGGGACGCCGGCGGCAGCAGCGGCAGACCCGCCCGTTGGCGCTGCTGCTGTAACCTCAACTCCCGGCCGCGGTGCAGCCGCCGCCACTTCTGCTCCTTCTCCTTCTTCTCGCCACGGCGGAGTCGACGGCGGTGCAAACCTCACGAAGGCGGCGTTCTTCAGCCCCGGAGTAGGCCAGAGGCGCGAAGGGCTCAGACGCCAGACGAGGAGAGGGGGGGCCGGGGTGGGTACCAAGGGCAACGCCATTTCCAAGCTACCGTCCTCTCTACGGCTGTCGTCATCGGCTCGCCGGGCTTCGGGAGACGGGCTCGGATCGACGTCGCTTCGCGGAAGCACGGCAGGGGACGGCGGCGGCGGCGGCGGGGCAGAAGAGCTTGGCCTGCCGCCGGTTCCCCCGTTCTACAAGCTAGGGGCAGCGTCCCCGGCCCCGGCCGGACGAGTAGGCGGCGACGAAGGAGAAGCACACCACGAGCATGGCGGTACCGGCGTTGCGAGATCTTTGCGCTCTGGCCGCGTTACCGATGGCGTTGTTGGCGGTGTCGGCGTCGGGGGCGGCGGCGGCGCCGCCGCCGTCGTGGGGTCGTCTGGTATTGCAGGCCGCGCTGCAGACGGGAAAAGAAAAAGGAGCGGGAAGGGGCCGAGAGCAAGAAACGGTCACCTCGAAGCGAACGATATGCAGGAAGAGGAGGAAGAGGAGGAGGAGGAGGAGGAGGAGGAGGAGGAGGAAGACGACGACGGTGATGATGATGAAGAGGGAGGAGGAGGAGGAGCTGCGCTAACCGCGACCGAGAGGAGGGACCTCTACCGCTCGCTGGCGCGTGGGCCGTACCTGTCCGCTTGGGAGTCGCTGTACCTGCTGCGCCAGCTCAACTCGCCGGAGGCCAACGGCCTCAAGGAGCGCTGCCTGAAGAAGTACAAGGCAAGGGTTGCCGCCAACACCGCCGCCGCTGCCGCGACCCCGACTGCCGGCGCCCAGCAGCAGCAGCAACGCGGCAGGCAAGGCCTCGCAGTGCCGCTTTTGAGGCCGGTCGCCCGGCGCGCGGCTTTCCCGCCCGGCGCGGACCTGGCGCCGTCGGCACCGACGCGCTCTTCCATTTTCCTTATGCAGCCTCCCCTGGCCCCGGCCCCCAGGGGGCCTCTCGGTCTCCCGGTGGGGGCGGCGCGGGCGGCGGCGGGTGGGACCGTGGGACGTCTCGACGGTGCTAGTCGCGGCAGCCAAGCAGGGATGAGGGAGACCATGCCCCCACCACCACCCCCGGGAGGGGCGGCAGCGCGTGGGGGGGATTCGGACGACCTCTTGACGCCGCAAAAGAGGGCGCAGGTGCAGGCGGAGCGAGACGGAAGAGGGCGGTGAGCGAGACAAACTGGCCGGGGAGGTTTAGGGGGGGGGGGGGGG